TTTTTACTCACCATCTTGGACATTTCTCTGGTTTTAGCCCAGTTTTCCAATAATTTTATAAAAATTCTGTAGTGTGAAGTACCATGGGGGACAGAGCCAATTGTTCATTCCAATGGTGTCTTCATAAAGCGTAATATTTATGTAAAAGGCATTCTTAGCAATTAGAAATTGAAGTGTCTTTTAGTTTGGTGACACAAACTTTATTACTTGGTGGATAATAAAACTATATCCTCAGGAAATCAAAAGGAAAAGGAGACCACTTTATACAGAGATGAATTTAGATTACTACTGAGCAATGGTCCAACATTTGCAGAATGTTTGTAGAATAAAATACAGGCATGGAAAATAATAATGCAGACCAAATAGCAATAAAGAAGATGGTATTATAAGTGGAAAAAACACAAAATGGCATTTTAATTGCAATGTGTAGGAATGTGAAGAGATCAGAGTTGCCGACTGTGGATCCTGTACGGTAAAAGGGTTTTTTGTAAATTTTTATTGCCTTGTGTGTTTCTGCTTCCCTAGCATTATTGATTAATTAAATCTACAGTCAGAACTATGGTGCTCAAAGTGAACACGCTAGAGTGTGGGGGTGCTGGGAGGCGTGGGAAGAAGCAGCCGGAGAGACGGGTCTGCAGGAGCCTGGAGCTGGCCTCCTGCGCTGCTACTCAAAAGAGCTTGGTCTTTAACTGTGGGTGGGTGTTCACTTACCACCTGATGAGACTTAAGCAAAGCACAACAGCAAACAAAAAGCAGGGAACCCCATCATTTCTGGTCATCTGTCTTTACTCATCTGTGGGACCCAACGATAGAAAGTGGATGATCATGTATAAAAAAAAAAACAGATGCTTTTTTTTTTTTTTTTTTTTTTTGCAGTTTTTGGCTGGGGCTGGGTTAGAACCTGCCACCTCCAGCATATGGGGCTGGCGCCCTACTCCTTGAGCCACAGTGCCGCCCGATGCTTTTTATTTTCATATATCCTTCCTCCAAGCCAGTCTTTCTCAAGCCACAATTATTTGGTTAATTTTTAATTTTGCTACATAAGAATCTCATGTTTGTTTCTGCTGATACTTTGCATATCACTTCCAGCTCAGTATCCCCCCAATTTAAGAAACCTCTGAGCACATTCAATGAATCTCTCATACACAACCTATATATTACCTTAAATTAGTATAATCATCATAAAAATAATCATTATCGAGTGTGTACTATGAGCCAAGCACTGTGATAAGCCTTTTACCCCCAATTTATCCTAAGAACAGACCTGCAAAATGGGTATTATGGCACAATCCTGCCAAAGATAACTCAGATCCAAGTGTCAGAGACAGGGCTCAATCGCGGGGACGCCTGGAGCCCCATTGCTCTCAGCCACCACAAAGTGCCAGTGCTGAGCATTTTTCTCATTTCACCCAAGGCACCTTAAAACTAAGGACAGCTCTCTGTCTCTGAGAAAATCCTCCAGGAAGTTCCTTCCCAGTGGGCACAGAACCCTTGATTCATGCTCACTGGATACTGTGATTCGTCATCTGACTGTCAGTTTACTTGGCACGTGTCTGATACACCCGGTTCCTCACTATTTTATTCACAGGAATATCATACAAGGCTCTTCAGTGCTTTACAGAGTGGCAAAAACGCTAAGCCCAGGGGGAGTTCCCTTCACATGCCAACATCTGCACTTTTCATCAACTTTACCTTTTTTCCTAAAAATTCTGTTCACCAACTTCATTGTATTCCTCACTAAACTACCCACCTCACCATTGCTGGAGTGATCTAAACTCAAGCCTGCTGTCAGCTGCTCCTCTCTCAAATGTGTCTGAGGCCTCTGTCTTCTATAGAAAGAGTCCTAACCTCAGTTCCAGGACCCACAAGGACTTTGGCAAATTTGAAATTTTCCTTCAGATTACATAACTGTTACTTATATGTGAACTTTGCTCTGAAAAATATTCGTATATTTGTATGAGGTTATCTAAAGGAGAACTATGGTTCTACCACCTGTAACTAATTTGTAAAGACACATTTTCCTAATATTTATAGAAAACTCTTCACGACCTAACTTCCAAGCCCTCATCCTCACCCGCTCCCATTCTTAGCCTCCAGTTCCCACCGCATCACATACACACATGAACAACACCACCCTTCTCAGAGCATGTCTGTCTGCTCAGCTCCACATGTGCAGTTCTAGGCCTTACTCCTTCTCCTCATATGACGTCCAGATCACCCTCACACCTCAGATCCAGTATCGTCTGAATTAAACCTCTCCTCACCTAGCCAAGCAATACTGAGTGTTTTCTCAGAGCTTTGCTCACACCATGATTCTGAAGCATTTATCAAGTTACTCTAATTAGCCCCATGTAGATTTATCTAGTCCCCCCCACCCCCACCAACTCTGAGTCCATCTCAGGGAGGCTGAGGTCCTGACACAGTGACAGCAGCAGGCCAGCCCTCTGCCCACTCCAGCCCGTGTTCACAAGCAGTTAAGGAAGCTTTCCCCTCCAGTATGTAACAATCACTCAATCAATATTGGAACTAACGAGTGAGCAGATAAACTGAGAGACACGATCACGAAGTAACCACCTCTGCTTGCTGTGCATTCATTACTCATAAATGGCATGAACTTGGCCTTTCTGCATAATTCAGCGTATCGTTAGTGAAGGGTCCATAGAACCCTGGCTCTGTTTTAGGGCCTGAGGAGTCCTCCTGTAAAAGACGTTCATGCCACAGTTTCTTCCTTTTAAATGTTTGGAGTCCTGTGGGCAGCAAAGTCTTAGATGGGCTTCAACTTCAGACCCACCCAGTGAGCCTGTCCTGGTCTGCTTGTCCTCAAATGTGACGGTAATTGCCGGGGAAGGAGGCAAAGTGGTTCAGTCCTCAGAGCCTAGACTCTGAACGTGTATGTGCCCAAATGCCAATCTTAAATTCTGTGCATCCCAGCTGGGCAGGGCAGAGCACATAGTACAAGGTCTTTGAGGCAGGGTTCCATGGGCTGCAGGATGAAGGGCATGCCCACCTCACACGTTTATACAAGCAGCACGTGCAAAAACAGTGAGTGTGGCACAGACAGCATGATGGAGGTGACACTGGCGGTGAATGACGATGATGACGGTGATGATGAGGTTAGCACATTGAACTGTAAGTCACTGGGGAAAAGCACCGCATTTAATTCATTTCTGAGTCCCCGGCACCTGCCATAGTGCCTGATACAAAGTAGATACTAAATAATGGCTTCTTAAATGAATGACAAAGTCTGAGATATTGGAAGCCATGGGAAGATAGAACAGCGACTGCCATGACTAGAATGATTGAGAACAGCCTTACTAAGGAGGAGAAATAAAAATGGGAGACTTTCCCAGCTAAGAAGAGGACAGAAGCTACTTCCAGAATGCAAGGAAGTGAGTGTAACACTCAGAATGCAGCATGTGCCATAGCCAGGCAGAAAGTGAGTGTGACCCTCAAGAGTCTGGTATGCACCACGGCCAGGCAGAAAGTGAGTGTGACACTCAGAATGCGGCATGCACCATGGCCAGGCAGAAAGTGAGTGTGACCCTCAAGAGTCTGGTATGCACCACGGCCAGGCAGAAAGCCAGCATGACACTCAGAATGCAGCATGCACCACAGCCGGGCAGAAAGTGAGTGTGACCCTCAAGAGTCTGGTATGCACCACGGCTGGGCAGAAGTAAACGTGTTTTCTTTGGTAGGAAAGGAAAGCAGTGAGGATGTGACATAATTAAGCACTGTCCTCAGTAATTACTAAAGCTCTACTGCTCAACACCATGCCTAGGGATCAGTAACAAAAATAATAATCTTAAACGTTGGTCCTTTTGGAAGCTGCAAATTATAGCAAAACAATGCAGGAAAATGTTTCCTTAGGTAAAGTGCATGGGTTGTTTTTGTTTTTTGTTTTTTGTTTTCAGACAGAGTCTCATTCTGTCGCCCTCGATAGAGTGCTGTGGCGTTCACAGCTCACAGCAACCTCAAACTCTTAGGCTTAAGAGATTCTCTTGCCTCAGCCTTCCAGGTAGCTGAGACTACAGGCAGCCGCCACAATGCCCGGCCACTTTTGGTTGCCGTTGCCATTGTTCTTAGCTGTCCTGGGCCAGGTTTGAACCCACCACCCTTAGTGTATGTGGCTGGCGCTGTAACCACTATGCTACGGGCACTGAGCCAAAGTGTGTGGTTTAGTGAGAAAAAAGCAGGCGCTCTCTGGGAGGACAAACATAGATTTGAATTTTTGTTTTGCCACTTAACTAACGATATTATCTTGGGCAAGTCACTCGCCTCCTGAGTGTCTGTCTTCTATTCTGTAAAATGGGAATAACCTGTCCCTCGGGGCTGATGTGGCCCCTGAGTGGGAGCCCCTGCTGCTGTCTGGTGTGTGGCAGGTGTGCCGTGAGCTCCAGAGCTGCTGCTGTTTCCAGGAGTGAAATACACACCCGTGTGGTCATGCACATTTTGGTGGCATATGTTTTGGGACATGGAAATGTGAGGTTACTTGATTTGAGAGTAATTGGGACTTTTAAAAAGGAAATAATCCAGAAAAGAACAATATGTAATGTGAATCCACGTGGCTGTTTTTCTCTTCAAAGTGAAGAAATGAAAAACGTTCTGAGAACAGGCAGTGGGTCAGGTCGAACACTCCAGTAGGAGACTAGTAATTTTCTTGGCTAACCACCCGCTGTACAAACTGTCATGCAAATGCTGCCTTGGGCTTCATGCAGAAGGTCGGAAAGCCCGAGCCCCTGTCCTCCTGCTTGGATTTCCTTTTCTGTAGTGTAGAACATAACTGAGTAATTATTTCAAGTGTGTTTGTCTGTAAAGCCAAATATTTCCTTCTAAATACTTGAGCTCTATGTTGAATATACAAACTCACAGTTCATAGCACTTTTTTTAATATTACTAAGGGACAAATTCTTATCCCTTAATCTTGTAGTGGCCTGTTAGTTTCACATGTGCTAAGGTGTCTCTTGTGTCTGTGATAAATGACAGCTTTTCATTTGATGCAGGTTCTTCCAGGGGGCCCAGCCCCCTAACCATGGGCGCCCAGGACACCCTCCCAGTCGCCGCAGCTTTCACGGAAACTGTCAGCGCCTACTTCAAAGGAGCAGATCCCAGCAAGTAAGCTGGCACTGAGCTGCCGTTCTGGCTCTGTCCTGTCTCGGGGGGATGTCCTGAATATAACTACTTCATACCTTATCCTAAAACAAAGCCAAAAAATTCCAGTTAACAGTAGTAGATGGCACACCGAGAATAGAGGAGACATTTAAATTAAGAATATTAATTCATTGCCTTAAGAAAAAATCAAAACTCTTACTATCCAGAAATCATTGAATCAGTTGTAGTTGTAAATACCAGAAAACCCTAAGCCAACCCTATCAACAACGAGAAGATGTATTTGCTTCCAAAAGTAAGTATCGAATCACATCTGTTACTGTTCTAGTCTTCCTTAGATAGAAATAACCCACGTATAAATTGAAATAATGATGCCTCAGAAGAAAGCATGGAAGGAAAAAAATCTTCCCAAAATACCCAAAGAAGCAAGAGAACAAGTTCTATGTTACCCTTGCTAAGTAAGGAAAAACTAATAAACAGGAAAGAGGAAGGGAGGGAGGGGTAGGGAGAGAATGAATTATAATCACAGCAAAGTAGAAAAAAATTAGTGACAATTCATCACCCTCTATTGTATCAGTACAGACTGACAATGGACTTGATCTAAATGCATATGTGATATAATTTAATATTTCACTTTTGATAAGGAATTGCGGAAGTCTGTGAATTCCATGAAACTATGTTTTATATCTTATGTGTGTATACATTTGTGCTTTTTTTTCCAGAGAGAGGGACTATAGCATTCTCTTTAACAAAGGGATTCATAATCCACAAAGATTAAGAGTGATTAGTGGTCTACACTGAAAGCTAAATACCTAAACCAAACTGGTTTTCATATGTGTTGTTAATGTAATTCCCAGTCTGAATTTGATTGAAAAATAAGGGGCAATCTTAGTTGAGAAAAGAATTGCTCTTAACTTTTTTGCTTACAAGGATCAGGACTTGGAAAACTTTAGTGTCTACCACAATAAACAACAATAACAAAAAAATAGCCAGGTGTTGTGGCAGGTGCCTATAGTCCAAGCTGTTTGGGAGGCTGAGGCAAGAGAATTGCTTAAGCCCAAGAGTCTGAGGTTGCTGTGAGCTGTGACACCACAGCACTCTACCGAGGGCGACCAAGAGAGACTGTATTTATCTTCATTCGTTCTTTATGAGGTTTTTTTTCTCAGTCCTTGTGTTAAATATTGTTATTAAATTTAGCCTTTTTAATTCTGTGAAGGCAAAAGTGGAAACCTAATATACACATGTATAAGCAAGAAAAATTAAAAAAAGAGAGAGAAATACTAAATGTGCACATAAAATACTAGATTTTATTATAAAAATTTTTTTGAAACAGAGTCTTACTTGGTTGCCCTGGGTAGAATGCAGTGGCATCATCATAGCTCACAGCAACTTTAAATTCCTGTACTCAAGCGATCCTCCTGCCTCAACCTCCTGACTAGCTGGGACTACAGGTGTCCACCATCACACCCAGCCAATTTTTCTATTTTTTATATAGAAAGGCTGGTCTTGAACACTCAAGCTGAATCATTCTTCCCCTCTCAGCCTCCCAGAGGGCTAGGATTACAGGCATACACCACCGTGACTGGCCTATAAAGATTTTTAGGAAACAATGATAATTAAGCATGATTAGACCTTGAGTGTCCGTATATATTTTAAGGGGGAGTTTATATGACTAATCATGAATCCTCTTTACACTTCAGAAATACTCATTTTTTTAAGTCTAAATGTAACAATAATGCAGAGGAAACCAACCGAATTAGAAACTCCATCTTTAACTGTCCTGCCCAGGCACTGGGGTCTGTCAACCGGGGGTCTGTTTAAACCACAACGTCTAAGTTTTATTCTGGGCTCAGAATACTGTGGAGAAACAAACACCAGGCTGATTGCTCTGTGTCCCTTCTCTTTCACCTTCAAAGCACGAAGCCCCTTTGCCACCTGCACGTGTCCGTGGGGCTGAGAGATGCCCCGTGGGGCTGAGAGATGCCTCGTGGAGCGGGTGCCTGGTCTGCGCGGCAGGCGGGCCCCACCCTGTCAGCTGCACACACTTTGTATGTGCGTGTCTGTCCTGTAGAACCTTCTTGGGACAACACATCTGCGTAACTTCCCTCATTCCTGTTCTGGGAACCGCTTGCTGCTGACCAGCCTACACCTTAGCAATTTCAAACTAACCTGAACTCAGAAAAGCAGGAGAAACACACTTTTCAAAAACAGAGTCACCAGGAGAGTGGAGAGAGTGTAAACCTCTCTAAACCTGAGAGGCCACTGGGAGTCACACAGGACGGGTCCTTGTCACTCATTTATTCAGAGGGACCTAACTGGTCTTTCTGCTTCCTATACTGCCCCTCCCAGCCTGCTCTCAAGGTATCACATCAGTCCTCTGTTCAAAATCATCCTATTTTGTTTTGTAAAAACTAAGTGCTCTACAGTGGGCGGTAAAACCCTGCACGGCCACCCCACCTTCAGCTGCCCTGCCACCCCAGAGGCCACCCCCCACCCATGTGACCCAGTGACTCCACCCCATCCACTTATCAAGGGAAGTGGGAGCCTCTGTCCATACGAGACCTGTACCCATGTATTCACCCCAGTTCTAACTGTAAAGCCCAAGTGCTCTTCAGTAGGTTAAGGGACAGAAAGAGAACTGGTGCATATTCATCTGTTACACAACAAGAGAGAAGTGTCGGTGCATGTGGCTATTATGGAGGAATCTCAAAATATTTATGCTGAGTGATATAAGCTTGACACTCCCCGCCCCCCAGCACTTATGTCACAGTTCCATTGTATAAAATCCCAGAAAGTGCAAGCTAACATAGAGTGACAGAAGCTTATTAGCTATTGCCGGGGGGTGGGGGGATGGACGGGCAGGAGAGGCATTAGAAAAGGGTGTGAGAAAACCTTCAGCGATAACGGAAATGCTTATTATTTTGAAGGTATGGTGGTTTTGCATCATAGAATCTCATGGAATTTTACATTATAAATATGTGCATTTTATATATGTCATTCGTATCTTCATAGTACCCTTTTTAAGAAAAAAAGAATTCTTCCTCTCAAGCTGTCATTCCCTCGTGTTGACTTACATGACTGATGTTATAATTTTGACCAAATAGATAAATTAGTGGAATGAAGAGCTTGTTCAGTGGGAAGCAAGAACTTGACCTCATGCGTAAATTAAAGAATGTTCTCCCGGCATCACTCATATCCCTGTGACCTAAGTCCCTGTAGCCTGTATGATAACATTGTGCAAGTTAACATCTCCAAATATGCTGCCAAACATTCGGAAGTCAAAGTGAGAAGAAACAGCAGAGCAGATGATTCTGTTCGTAAGGGGAGCCCACAGACCTTTCTGCAGAAAAACAAAAGCTGTGCTGTTTTCTTTCAGTTCAAAACACATTTAACAGAACAGCCATGGTTTAGACATGGTAAACATGAAGTTCTGGGATAAACTGGAAATGATTTAAGCCGCTGAGAGTGGGATTGTGAGACCTGCCCTTAATCCCTTCCGCTGTCTAACATTGTGGCAGATTTTTTTTTTCTTTTGTCACAATTGCCTGTTCGAATTCAGACTGTATCGACCTCCGCTTCCTCTCTCTTTCCTCTCTGTGTTTGATACACCAGGTGCATTGTCAAGATTACTGGAGAAATGGTGTTGTCTTTTCCTGCTGGGATCACCAGACACTTTGCCAATAACCCAGCCCCAGCTGCTCTGACCTTCCGGGTGATAAATTTCAGCAGGTTAGAACACGTCCTGCCAAACCCTCAACTTCTCTGCTGGTAAGAATGACTTGGCTTAAATTTTTTAGAGATGTACATAGCTTGGCATTTTAAACTTAGATGAGCCAGATACTTTAGTGAATGAGTAGCCCTGGAGTAATATTCCTACCACTCAGAAAGGCTTGTAGATATAGACACAGGAATTTTGCCAGCTGTCAAAGTTTCTTGTGGGTGATTGTGTAATACGTGTAACTGCAAATGTATATACGTATTTTAGCAGCCAAATATCTCGAGTGGCTAAAGAGGCATTTAGAGTAATAAAATCTGTATTAGTGGCAATTTATTCACCACGTTTTACTTAATTATCTGTACATACGGGAAAGGGGTGGTGGGGAATGAGCCCAAGACAGGGTAGAGTCCTTTTGTTTTATTAGCTTCTGTTCAAATCAAATGGTATTGGAACCCTGAGTTACTCTTCACGTGAGCTTGGAAACCTTTTACATGGAGCACATAATTTCACTGTTACGGTAACTTTTCCGATGAAACTTTACATGTATGATGTCAAAGAAACCCATGAGGATGTATTTATATAAATATCCTTTTCACATCTTCGACTATTACACTGCACATGATGTTTTATCATGCACACACCCACCACAGGCACACACACATACATGCGTGCGTGCACTTAGAACGAGTGATTATATCTAGTTAATTATTTGCAAAGAATGAGGCAGGAGTCAGTGCTCACTGCTGCTCCCCACTGTCCAGTCCGTCTGGACACCACTCTGGGCAGTGGCCATTTTCCCTTCCCTGCAGCCTGGCTTCTCCCAGTGCCCACGGTCATGGCCCTGAATCGGGTAGTGGTTTCCCTCCTTCCTTCCCTGAATCCAAGCTCACCCTTCTGGAATATTCTCATAGCCCAGTGCCTTTTTATGAGATAAACCGGGTCATCTTAACTCATAACCCACCTGCCCCGGGAATCTAACCTTGTTTCCATTGCTGGTGGGGCTCACAGTTGCCCACCCTTGCCTGCCTCAGAATCCCTACCTATCTCCAGCCTGACTGCTATTCTCAGAAACAGGCCGAGTCCCTTCCCACTGCAGGGCTCTGTGTGTCCTGTCCTCTGCTGGGTCCCTTTCTGCCCTTCTTCACTTGCCTCCCACACCCTCCCCACCGGGCTCAGCTCCACTGTGCCTCCCCTGACCATCCCACACCCTCCCCACCGGGCTCAGCTCCACTGTGCCTCCCCTGACCATCCCACTCTCCTCCCCACCCACCCCCAGCCCCCAACTAAATTGTCTTCCCTGTTTTTCTCTCTCAAAGTGCCCTGCTCTTTTCCTTTGTAGCCCTTACTACAATCTGTGTTTACAAACCTCTGTTTCTATGCTCATCCATTTCCCCCACAAAATGGCACAGACCGGGAGCGGAAGGCCTGCGTCCACTACTGCACCGTATGCCCAGAGCCTTCCGCTCTGCCTGGAGTCTGATAAGGACTTGCATAATATTTGTCTCATGAATGAACAACTTAATTGTAATGTAAATAATTTAGTCAAGCTGGATGTTTACATAGAAATAACTAAAACGTATTGGTATTTGAATTGGAGTCCCAACATAACCACTTATTCTCCCGATGGCTTAATCACAGCGTTGCAGAAACAGTCCCCGGTCTTCCAGGGCTCACCAAAGGTGCGGCCTCCTCCTGGTCCTTGTCACGGCTTCACCCACCAATAGACTTGACTCCAGGTTTAAAAGCATAAAAGAAATAACCCCTGTGAAGATGAAGAATAGGCCCAGAATGACGGAAACTGGAGCAATATTCAGAAACTCGCACTTGGCTTCCCCTGTGCGTTTTCCATTCACACCCTGAGTTCCTTTATTTTCCGAGTTTCCTCCATCTGAAATTAGGGCCTCTGAGCCGGCGCCTCACTAGTTAGTCTGTAAATACGACTGATGTGACAGTTACAGCTTTTGTTGCATTTTGAGGCAGTTACAGCACCAAGTTCTTAGGCAAATGTGTAAAAGTTGTGTACATGCCTCAACGTATCAGGTCTTATGAACTGAAGTTTCAATAAATATTACTCAAAATGATTCTGCTTAACAAAAAATTATATAAATTCTTAAACTATTATTGGCAAAAAAAAAGACAATATTTTTTCTCATTTATTTGGGTCTTATTAAAGCTAATTACTTGATAATTGTGCTGGGGCTGTGACAGGCAACTCACAGCCCTTCTGGAATCCCTCAGCTGGGCCACTGCACCACCACAAGCTCTGGTTTTCAAGGGTGCTGTTGCCCCAGTGAGATGGAACGTTCCTCCTGATTGCTGTAGCACCTCACCCTCTTACTCTCAGCCCAGCTCTGCTTCATGCTCCCTGAGGGCATCATTCAGTTAACAGGAGGCTAGGTACACACTCACTTTGCAATCCCCGGGGCCACGTGAGAGTTCACACATCCACTATCCCCTTACAAACGGGGTTTGCTTGTAAAAAATATTCAAGAACAATCATCCACTCAGGTGTGAGGCTGAGGCATTTGAATACTCTCGGCTGATTTTTTTTCATTATTGAGACGAGCATTTGTGAGCTAGGCTGGGAAGGTGCACTGTGGACAAGCTTCCGAGCAAAGCTAATGACTCTTGTTGGGACAGAAAACTCTAGTTTTGTCAAGATTGTGCTTCTTCTCTATTGTAACTACCGTGATTACCGTAGTTTAAACTCCAGCACCATCTTGTAAGCAAAATGACATTTCTTACGATTTAGATGCTCTGGGATGAGACATCGTGAATGCTGAGAAGGCAGCATTTACTGTCACTCTTTTCTCCTTAGTCATAAACACCATGCTTACATCTGGCTGAATATTTAACTGGATAATTTCTGAGAAACCACTGGTCAAGTCAATTCAAAAGAAAATCGATGCATTCAGCTCCGTGACTGCACGACCTCACTAGTTTAGATGAAAAGTGTGGCGATGTAGAAAGGACTGTTTAGTTTGGGTTAATAAATAATTCATTCTTTAGAGCAGCCAATTAGCCATCCTGACTGGGTACTCCTGAGATTTATAGCAATTTATAGCTCCCCCCATGGGTTTTAACCTATTAACGTCCTACCATGCAGAGCTATGTGTGTGCTGAGACTGCACCACTCCTAATAAAGTCCTTCTAACCTCCACCAACTGCCCAAGGCAGACGTAGGACTCAGAAGCCAGTCTGCTACGATGCATCTTGTGTGGTTTGCTACTTGTAAAATAGCAAATTAATCATTTGTTGTAAAATGCTACTTAATCATTTTATCTTCCCAACTGAATAGTGACAACACACAAAATGATGCCAATACCAAGGAATTCTGGGTAAACATGCCAAATTTGATGACTCACCTAAAGAAAGTGTCTGAACAAAAGCCCCAGGCTACATATTATAATGTGGACATGCTCAAATACCAGGTAAGTAAGCCCGTGTGCATGCTCAGAGGGTCTCTTTCACATTACAGTAAATAACATTTCTTTTAATATTGCTTAAAAGGCATACTTTATAAGAAAATAGAAACGTTAAATGATTATGTGGGGACTAGTGACAAGAATATACATACATATACTTATTCATTTAAACTTATAAGGGAAATATTATTTTAAAAATTAAAGAAACACGCCATGAAAATGAAGTTGCTGAACATTTCATCAATTAAACTAGATGACTATAATTTTGTTATGAGCATTATTGTACTAAAAACTCTTATTTTAAATGATTAAATATAAGAAATCTTCCTATGAAGTAGTTCTAATAAAACATTGAAAAATAACTCCATAGTAAGAGAAGATACAACGTAGTTGAATACAGAGGATGCGTCTGTTTTGTGTGTGTCTGGATTGCCCCTCCCGAGACTGTTTTAGCAAATAAGGCTGATCAAGTCAGAACTCCACCAAGCCTGAGTCTCCCACTGATTCCCAGCATTGGTGTCCTTAATTTTTTTAATCAACAAATAAAAATATGTGTTTGTCATGGGCACCATGGTATTCTGAAGTATGTATTCATTGTGGAATGACTAAACGTAACTAATTAACACATGCATTAACTCACAAAGTTACCATTTAGTGATGAGAATACTTTACATCCACTTTCTTAGCATTTTTCAAGAATACATTGTTAACTATAGTCATCATGTTGTACAACAGAGAGTGCCCTTGAACTTGCTCCCCTCTCTGATGGAGAGTTTGAGTCCTCTGATCAGGGAGCCCAGAGTAGCCCCTGCAGCAGGGACCTTCCCTAACAAGCGCACACATTGTAACCTGATTATTTGTATTCTCATATTAATCTGAAATTTAAAAAAAAAAAAACTCTTTTAATCTTCCTGACAAACATATGGGCAAATGTTATTGTTAGCATTTCCAGGTGGCGATGAGGAAGTAACAGAGGCGCAGAGAGGTTTAGTGTTGTGTTTAAAATGCCTCACCTTGTACGTGGCAGAATCGGAGCTCACACCCAGGGCTGTCTGGCCCTGGCTCGACCCCCGTGTGCCTTCCCGCCTGTAAACTCTAAAGGGCCAGAGAGACTGTAGGGGTTCGCCCCCCACGTTCGCCCCCAGCGCCGGACCCTCTCCGAGGACTGGGCCCTGCCGGCTCTCCGGGGAGCGGAACAAGGTCGAGCACGGGATCCCTGGTTTTGCTTGAGCTTCACTGCTAGACCTGAACACCCTGTCTCCCGTCCCCGGCAGGTGTCTGCCCAGGGCATTCAGTCCACTCCGCTGAACCTGGCGGTGAGCTGGCGGTGCGAGCCGGCCAGCACGGACCTGCGCGTGGACTACAAGTACAACGCGGACGCCATGGCCACGGCCGTGGCCCTCAACAACGTGCAGTTCCTGGTGCCCATCGACGGCGGGGTCACCAAGCTGCAGGCTGTGCTCCCACCTGCAGTCTGGTAGGGAACCACCCTCGGGGTCCTCTTCTGGGGCAGCAGACACCTTAGTGGTTGTGCCTCCTGCAGAGGGTCACAGCAGACCTGCCCATCGGGGTTCAGGGTGAGAAACAGGAACGCCTGTAGCTATTTTTAGCAAAAATAATGCAGCAGAGATTTCAATGCCCACATAAAGGTGGACATGCTGGACGGAGGCTTTAGGCTGGTTCTCCAAGGATTTTCCCAGAACTCTGCAGAGCCAGCCTGCCACAACCCGGGGTGAAGGGGGGCAGTGAGAGGCTGCCGGTGCAGCCCTGAATTCCAGAACCCACAGCTGTGACCCACCCAAGGGAGAGCCGGCTTTCACCTCCTGAACGGCTTCTTAGAACCCACAAGCCAGAGGACAGACTGCACCCCAGTTGTTAGAAGATCCCCCCATCTAAGGGAGGGTGCTGGTCAGAGAGCAGAAGGGCGTCTGCCTCCTTGTTCCCAAATCTTAAACCGTGGTGGAGTGGGTGGACCCTGGCTGGCCTCTGAGACCGTCGCTGCGGGGGAGTCTGGGAAAGGCACTGTTTCATTTGAACGCGGGGTGAAGTCGATGCTCAGGACCAGTGGCATCTGTTACATGGGACTTGCCCTGGAAAGAATGACCCAGTTTTTCCATATGACTGTCAGAAACAAAAAGTAGAATATGTTTTAAAAGATGGATGTCAGGCAGATGACAGTACCAAGTTCAATTCCCTAAATTAATTGATCCATTAACTAACATTTCCCATCCATTGTTTCAGCAGATGTGTGCAAAAAAATTGTTTTAATTCTGAATTATCCTTAACCCAGAGGCTACGTTGCTTTAATTAGTCTTGCTAAAGTGTTCACCTCATGGCGTTAGAGCTGGTTACAACCAGGAGAAGGGACAGAGAGTTTATGTGTGCCCAGGAAAAGAGAGAGGGGAGAGAGGGAATTTTTAAATTGTGGCTAAACTTTTCAAGATCTATTTTTTTTAGTTAATATTTAAAAATGGTGCCCATTAAACAAAATCCCATGCATCTGTGCAAAAGGCTTCTCCCTGTTTTATTTTTAGGAATGCAGAACAACAAAGAATATTGTGGAAGATTCCTGACATTTCCCAAAAGTCGGAAAATGGAGGTAATGAAATCCTAGGCTTATTTTACTTGATACATAAAGCTGAAATAACATCTAGGTATTAAACAACCATTGCCCAAATATATGTGGCACAAAAAATAAGCAGAACATTTCACAGCATTTGGCATTTACTTATTTCAATCAGTAAAAGCAAATAATCCTTCAAGAAATCCTCCTCTTGGGGTGGCCCTTGTGGCTCAAAGGAGTAAGGCACCGGCCCCCTATGCTGGAGGTGGCAAGTTCAAACCCAGCCCTGGCCAAAAAAAAAAAAAAAAAAAAAAAAAAAGAGTGAAAAAGGTTTGCTTATTTGGCTCGGCGCCTGTGGCTCAAGTGGCTAAGGCGCCAGCCATGTACACCTAAGGTGGTGGGTTCAAATCCAGCCTGGGCCTGCCAAACAACAATGATGGCTGCAACCAAAAACAGCCGGGCGTTATGGAGGGCGACTGTGGTCCCAGCTATTTGGGAGGCGGAGGCGAGAGACTCGCTTGAGCCCAGGAGTTGGAGGTTGCTGTGAGCTGTGATGCCATGGCACTCTACCCAGGGGGACAGCTTGAGGCTCCGTCTCAAAAAAAAAAAAAAAAAAATCCTCCTCTTCCCCTTTCCTGCCAAGACCCCACACCAGACAGGCCATCCTTGAGACAGACAGGCTCTTAGGAAAGGGTTTCCATCCTGAGTCAGATCCACACTCCCTGAGAGGCATGGGATATACTCACTTGCCGCTCACTTTCTTCTGATACTAACCACAGGCTGGAAACACACAGCTGTCCAGGTAGCAAGCTGGAATTCTGAAGTACCATTTTGCTGAACTACATTTTCTTTCTTTCTTTTTTTTTTTAAGAGACAGAGTCTCACTTTGTCACCCTCGGTAGAGTGCTGTGGCGTCCCACAGCTCACAGCAATGTCCAACTCCTGGGCTCAGGTGATTTTCTTGCCTCAGCCTCCCGAGTAGCTGGGACTACAGGCGCCCACCACAATGCCCAGCTATTTTTTTGTTGCAGTTTGGCCAGGGCCGGGTTGGAACCCACCACCCTCGGTATATGGGGCCAGCGCCCTACCCACTGAGCCACAGGCGCTGCCCTTGCTGAACTACATTCTTACTACCAGTGCACAAATAGAAATTGATCATAATATTCAAAGATAAACTTTATTCATCACCATTTTGTCACTGAAGCATATTTCCAAGCACGGGTGATTTTGTATGCTAGCTTTTTAATACAGTTTCCAAAATTAAACCCAGAATGTCGAGTTCATGATAGAACAATCTTCCCTCTCAGGAGTGGGCTCTTTGTTGGCGAGATTTCAGTTATCCGAAGGCCCAAGCAAGCCGTCCCCGCTGGTCGTGCAGTTCACCAGTGAAGGAAGCACCCTGTCAGGCTGTGACATTGAACTTGTTGGAGCAGGGTATCGATTTTCACTCATCAAGAAAAGGTTTGCTGCAGGTATGCGGGTACCAAAATAACGTTGCCTTAGCTACTCTTCTTTAAGAAGGGACAGGTTGTGATTGTCTAACCTTTTCCCTTCTCCTCTTCCCCACTCCCAACCTCCATCCCAATTAGAAAGGAAACCAACTGTTGAATGACGGAAAAAAACAGGAGGATGAACTAGAAATAGGACTCGAAAATGCTCTGTCTGCTTACCCCGGCTCTATTTCTTGGGAGGGGTGACCGGCTGTTCCCATTCTGTAGATGAGTATACCGAGGTTGAAGCAAATCCCACTTTTGTTATATTGACAGATAAAGCTGTTTGCTTTTGAATTTATCCCCTACCTGAAAGTATCTTATCCTGCAACTGGATCTCACAGATTGTAGATGTGTCAGGCTTAGCTGAAACCTGGGAGATGTCACTTTACTGACAAACTCAAAGAATCTAGGCCACAGATGCAAACTGGCCACCTGCAACTGAATGTGCCTACGAGACAGGTTTTATTTGACACAAATCATAACAAGATTTTGTTTTTTATTAGGAAGGAGGTTCTCTGATTCTTGAGTGATTATAGTTGTCACTTATTTGGGGGGACAAATCCTGGGTGTTATGCCTGTTGGACTGCTGAACTGATGTAATTGTTGATTACACCCCACTCTCAGAAATGACTCAAGGTGGAAAATAAATTATACTACTGTGTATCCCCAAAAATAAGACCTACCAAAAAAATAATAATCCTAGCAGGATTTCTATGCATTTGCTAAATATAAGCCCTACCCCATAATAAGACCTAGTGATGGGCGTGGCTATGCAGATACACATCCGTGCATTTCGGTGGGTGCAGAGTGGTAAGGAAGACTGGAATACCTTTTATCTGCCACACCTCCTTTCTCTGAGTTGTTCACACTTGTGCAGGTCTGCATGTGTGAACAGCTAGGGGAAAGGAGTTCACACATCACTAGAGCCAGTCCCACCAACAAGGTTAGCTCCCCCTGTCAGGTTCCAGAAGAAGATGACTTAACTATATTTGAATAAATGTAGATTGTTGTGAAAATAGACCCTAGTGTGTCTTCTTGAGAAAAAATAGATATAAGACAGTGTCACAGTGTCTTATTTTCGGGGAAACATGGTCATACCCTTCCTAAAACAAGTAGGATTGTCATCAGAAACAATTCTCCCAACCTGTTCTGGACAAAACCCAAACCTCTGTAAATCGTTGACCCATGAAAGTGTGAAGAGACAACTAGCTGATCTGAAAACTGAAAACTTAAAACGACTTCATGTATTTTAAGTTAGTAAAGCACTCTGAAGCAGCAGCTCCTGCCCCCAGGAGAAGGGCCGGAGGAATAGAAATGCAACCCTTACATAATAATCGTGATCACGTTACTGAACTAGTCGGTAACCTATTAATACGTTGTTTTATTTTGCAGGAAAATACTTGGCAGATAACTGATAAAATCTCATGCAAGGATTTGGAGAGTTCATATAATGGAGAACTGTTGTATGAGAAACAGGTTTTAATTTTGGTTTGATGACAGCAAACCAGAGTCTGCACTTGGGGTGTCTCGGCTGGAACGTCAGTGACTTCAGCCAGGGTCTCCCTCACACAAAACCACGCTGACAGCCCCACAGTATTCACTTGTAGTGTAATATTGTTAATGGTTTTAAAATGTAATTATTGTATTTGTAAATTGTACTCTCATTCCAGTAAGGCAGTTAGACACTTGAGTTTTAGCATTTTGCCATTCCCGAAATGGATGTAATTTAAACTGTGGTATGTAAATTTACTAGTAGTCCTGTCGAACGGCACAACGCTTGCAGAGGTAGGCTGCATTCTGTCAATATATAAAATTTAAATATAATATTGATAGCTGTCACAAAGGGGTGCCGCATATAAAGAAACTTAAGTGGACCAGAAAAAGAAAAAAGAAGCAAACTTTCTTTTCTTCAGTCTTTAGTATGTTTTACTCTAGTTCTAAATAAAAATTCTATCTTCAAATGTTTAGTGGATTAAATTCAGAAATATTTCAGAAAAAAAATTCTAAGGTTACAGTATATTCAAAGAAAAGCATTAATTACCACTTTTTAAAAAGCTTTTTTTCAAACCGCAAATTTCATAAAAATGCAAAATGTGTAAACAGGGCCTCTTATTTTTATAACTTGTGTAAAAAGGGAAAGCGATTCATATTTAAAGTTTAAGTATATTAAATTATAATCAAGAATAAAGAAGATGTTGCAGTCTTAACTGCTTCCCCTACATACAGCTCAGCAGATGTAGAGATTGCTGAATAGTCAGTCAGACGAAAACCCAAATTGTGATTCTGAGATCACGAGACTATCCGTAACTGAACTGGTTGACAATTTTTACACAATTGTTCTGAGCACAGGCCTCGCTCCCCTTTTGTGGGGGATGACGCCTGTGTCTTCCTCTTCACTCACGGGAATCAAAACACTAAGAATATTAGAAAAAAGAATTTAGTCCCCTGTTTAGAACCAGGAGAATTTTAATCATCATTTATATTATTTGGAAAAGAAGAAATAAGCTTTATAAATGAACTTCTATTCACATTGTTGTGTAATAAATTTCCCTCTGGATGATTAAGATTCATGGTATAAAATTATAAATCTTTGCCTTTCTTGGAGAATCAAGAGGAGAGTTATCAAAAATTGAAGTCATTTCATTTGCAAAACATAATCATTCAGTCTGACTCCACAATATTAACAATTCAGAGAGAACTTCTTCAGGAGTCCCAGTGGTAAACCCATTAAGATCTGGAAACATTAGTCTTCCTTTAAGTCACAGAACTTATTTTAAACATAAACCAACTCCTATTATAGGTTATACTATTAAATAATTATAATTATTGAGTTGTTATATTTATCATTAGTAGCTAAAATTTCATTTTATATACACTCCACTTTGACAAAGAATCTTTAGCCCTTTAAATTTTAGAATCAAATTAAATTTTTTAAGTCTTACTTTCAAAATGAGATTGTGACTGGCAATTGTTTATAGTGGAACTTTTTAAATTAATATTTGTACTCCTCAATCAGTTCTTGCTACAAAAAGAATGTTTAAAATGATCTGTTTTGCCTGGGAAGTATTTTTAATCATTCAAACGAGCTCTCAGTTGTCTCTCCAAAGCAGTCTAGTGTCAAAGTTTGTTTGAACAAACAAATTAATAAATACATTTTATGTAAAGATATTCAGTTTGATTTTGAAGCAAAAATAGAAAGTGCAAGATTTAAGATTCTGTGAAACATGGGGAAATTTAGACACTAAAATCAATGAGGAATAAGCAGAAGAAAATTGAGAATTACCCAGCATAGGAATATAAAAATGTGTTTTTAAGTAATCAGTTCATGAAAAGACATATTGAATTAACACAAAGCATATTAAAAAATGTGTAACTATAACTGGTTCTCATGTCTTTCTCTTTATATTTTATTTAATTTTATTTTATATAGATCTAGAATGAATCATTAAACACAAATTTTTTCCCCAAAGAATAATTTTTTTGATACTGTACAAGTGTAATTAGGAAGATAGATTAATCTCTAACATGATCCAAATGTTTCCAGGAACTAAATTTGAAACTATGAAGAAATCCTACAACCCCTTCATCGGTCTTTATGAAACAGAATAGATGTCAATGATTTCAAAATTATTAAACTTTGAATAATCAGAACCTCAATAAGGAATGTATCCCTTCACCTTTCAGAAAAGAGATAGAATAATAACATATAAGTGTGAATCAGGGATTTAGACTTTGGTGTTTTACTTTGTTTTTTTAACCTTATAGGTTATAAATTCCTGCTCCATCTGTATCCATAATACTGTAGAATAAGAATTCAAGTTCTAGGGCAGCACCTGGGCCTCAAAGGAGTAGGGCACCAGCCCCATATGCTGGAGGTGGTGGGTTCAAACCCAGCCCCAGCCAAAAACTGCAAAAAAAAAAAAAAGAATTCAAGTTCTGAAAAATGGTCCTGGACCATGGAAGAGTTTTAGTTCCATGGCCATATTCACCCAGGCTCACCATCAGTTCCCAGGTCAGAACAAAATGGACTCGTACAGGGTCAGACAATTTCCAGTGCCAGGGGTCAAAATACAAAGGAAGAGTTCTAGTTAAGCAGAACACCGATTCAAATGGGTTTGCTTTATCAAGACAGAAAACACGAATGATGCTGCTTTATTTTGGCAACATGGAAAGTGTTTTTCTTTTCAAATAAATACCCTATTTTCATGAAATTTTCAAAAATAAATTCTTATTAAGAATTAGTCTGAATTTTATCATAATTGGAATTTAGGCTTACTAAGAATTACATTTTTAATCATTTTTAAATCTCTGCTCTTCTCTACACTTAGAGCCAAAATGAAATTCCCCGTATGGTATTTGGCATGAAGTTTCACCTGTAAAGAATGTCCACAACCCAGGTGGTTGTCCGTGAATAGACAGGACCCCTCAAACAACAGAATTTTTTGTTTTGTTTGTATTCAATCTCCATCTGCAAAGTGTTTGAGCCATAATTATACTTATTTCCATTTCTAAATCTTTCCCAGGAGACAGATAACTGCACTAGCCCTGCCACCAGCTCCTGCTGTGTGACCCTGGGTAAGCCCCACCTTCCTCAGCTGCTCATCTTCCGGGTGGGCGCTGCCAGTGCCATGGTTTTCAAGATTTTTCTTAACAACAGGGCTTTCTTCTTTCTTTCTTTCTTTTTTTTTTTTTTTAAATAAAATTGTGTCAAGAATTTGTTAGGCAAAATAGTTCAAAGCAATGAAGGAGTTTCTCCTGCAGGTTGGAATCTGAGCCCCCAGGGCACAAACCATAGCAAAGCAAAAATGACCTAGAAAGTGGCTTCCAGCCCTCTGAAGCTCCATGGTTCCACTTCACTAGCTAAACCACTTTTGAGATTTTATAAAGAAACTTACATAATCAGAGTAATTGACGATGTGCACTAGCAATTGATATATTTAATTGATATATAGACTGCTTACCATGTACCAGTCACTACAGGTGGTAAAGGGACTTAGTCCTTATACCAATCCAAAAATTGTAGTTACTCTTTTTACAAATGATGACATTGAGGCTTAGGCAGATTCATTAATTTTCCAGAAGTGACCCTGCAGTTGAAAGTGACCTAGTTACTTCGACTACAAAGGGAACAGTTTCATCTGTCTTGCTTTGTCCTTTCTGGGGGGGGGGGGAAGAAAAAAAAGTCTCTGTTTTATTCTATTGTACACATTCCATTTGAATGGCAAGGTAATAGTTGCTATGAAAACTAATATCAAAGAATAATTCCAATGACAAAATCAAGGGAAAAGAACCAGTGTTTCTCCAAGTATTGCCTGTGGGCCATTGTATCACCCCTTATTAAACGAGGGCAATGACTTTGGCTATGTTACTACTATATCCCCAGAGCCTAGAACGTGGTAAGCACTGGTAAATTTGCATTGAGTCAGCAAATTTCCAGGGATGGGACTTGGGAACATGTATTTTGAGGAGCAGCCGCATCTGAGCACCACGGATCTGGTGTCTGTCCACGGTTCTTCCTGGTGCTGACATTATACCAGACTTTAAGCATTACATTTTAAGTTGAAAATCGTTTTCCTAGTGAGTTTATTCTTTCATTCAGTTCTACTTCCTCCAATCTTAAAAAAATGGGAGGTTTTCTAGGGCATTCTTTATCTTCTCCTTGGAGTTCTTCTGTGAAGGCTAACTCAGTCTCAAAGGAACCTGAAAGGCCTTCTCTCGTCCTCCTACCTCTGTCCTTTCCTTCAGTGTCTTAAAAAACGTGACGTATTAGGGCAGTTGCAAGCTCTTGCTTGTTCCAAATACAAAATCTTAATAATGTCTCCTTCTCAAGGACACTCAGGCCTCTTATTTATCTGGTAGACTTTTGATTTTTATAAGCATGGATCGGCCTCATTCTAAGAGTTGCACTGATCATTTTTAATTTTGGCATTTTTTCAAAATCATCACAGGCTGTCCATTAAAGTTGAGCAATACAGTAAAACACACCGATACCTACTCAAGAGATGAGTGTGTGTGTCCGTGTGTCTGCACTGGAGCTGGTCGACCTCAAAAGAGCGCACAGTTGAGCTGAATCCTGTTCAGTCTGAATGAACTCACTTTCCCATTCCTTGTGATCGCAAATTTTTTTAAATTGAAGCATCATTTTTAATAATACCAAAATGAAGACGATCTCTAATAAGTAAATATGATCTTTTTGTGCAATAAGTAAAATTAAATTGTTGCTCTGAATGAACAAATCGACCCAAGTTCTGTTGATTAAAGAGGCGACCCTGATGACCCCACCCCACCCCTCAGTGTGTGCACTGGCTCTGGAGGCTTGATCGATTTTTCCTACTCAATTAGGTTTTTTTTAATTGGGTAAATAGTCTCTAAATGCGATTCTCTCCTCATGAATTAATTATGACTGCCACTCTGTTACTCTTGTTCATGGAATATATGGGAAGAAGAATGAGGTAGAATTACATTGCTGAAGTCTCTAACCGTTATAAACAAACAAAAAAATCATTCGTCTTTCTCTTGTGTCACTGCTCCAATGTTCTATCCTCTTCTGTAAGCTAGGGTTGTATTTCTAATATTTAATTAAAATATAAATATCTTTCTTGAAGTCATGTCCAATTAAATTCTGTTTAGTTGAGCATGGCGAGCCCTCTTGGTTGGTCTTCATGTTTAAAATCTGACTTCTATCTCTCAAGAACGGATATTCCTAAGAGAAAACAGGCATCTCCTCATAGACATTTGGCATGGATATGATAATCTATCCTTCCATTTACTTTTAAAGTTATTTTTCCTTTTATTTGTAGTATTTCTGATTTTCTCATTCTGTCCCTAGAATTGTACATTGCCTGTCCTAAGAACATCTTTACCTTTGGGGCGAAAATGGTATTTCAACAAACAGTAAATATATTTTTAAATGGCCCTTATTGTTTTAAAGAAAAGAAGTAAAATATATTTGGACTATAGTCATCCATATGCCAGTATTTTCCAAAGTTTGCTGTGGTGTGAGAACAGTGGCCCAGTACGATTGGTCCATTCCCTCCAGGAATATGAACAATAAATGTTGGTGTTTAGGGATGCTTCATAAAGTCAACAGAGCAGGAGAAGACTTTTTCCCTAAGCAGACTTTGAAAAACCTTTGGAAACATTTTCTCTTACAATACAACCAGGAATGCTTTGAAAAGATGCTCCTGGGTGTTTTAACATTGAGGGAATTCCTGCCATTTCAAATGAATTGTTATTTATTTTAGATGTTGCCTGTATCTCTTTTTTTTTTTTTTTTTTTTTTTTTTTTGAGACAGAGCCTCAAGCTGTCCCCCTGAGTAGAGTGCTGGCTTCACAGCTCACAGCAACCTCCAACTCTTGGGTTTAAGTGATTCTCTTGCCTCAGCCTCCCAAGTACCTGGGAACACAGATGCCCACCACAACACCCGGCTATTTTTTGGTTGCAGCCGTCATTGTTGTTTCTGGCAGGCCCAGGCTCAATTCGAACCCAACACCTTAGGTGTGTATGTGGCTGGCACCTTAGCCACTTGAGCCACAGGAGCCGAGCCTGCCTGTATCTCTTAGTGAATTTAACTTTGTCATCTAAAATATTCAAAGCAATGAGATTAATTTAATTTTTTAAGTTTTATTTTTAAATACTGAAGACCGGCACATTAGGCCCCATCTGTTCAGGACATTCCAAAGTCTCTGCAGTGTAGAATCAACCTGAATGAACAATCCTTTGTAACATTTTATTAAATAGCAAGGCTGACAGTATTTTTTACATTCGCTTGTTAGAGATTATATGAAACACGTTCTAGTTAAAGCTAAGAACAATGCACAGTGTAGCACAGATTTTGCAAGATTCTACATGTTTCTAATGAGCCTTTCACTGTTGGGTTTGGGGTTTTTTTGTTTGTTTTGACTTGGCTTTATCTTGAACATCCATTGTTTTTATACAAAATCAACACATCAACAACATTCCTTTAAAAACTTCCCAGGTAAATTTTCAGTTATCAGATAGAAAAGCATAAAGCTGAATCACTTTACATTTCTCTAAATATAGTTTAATTTTAAATTAATTCAGAGTTCATGAATCAACCTGATAGATCCTAAGCCATTTATAATTTTTAAACGTTCCATTGAATGAGCATATCATACAAATGTTAAATTCATATCACTCATTCACTTTTATATTCCTTTGGTGACATTTTTTTCTGGCAAAATAAGTGCTTGATGTTATCCGTACCTCACTTTAAACTATTTTATATAATACACCAAATCGCTGTCATGGAGACCACTATCCCAAGATCCAAAGTTTAATTTTTTTCTCTTCCTTTAGCGATACCAGGGTGAAAATTCTTCTGCCTGTGCTGACTTTTCAGGTCAGTCTTTAGTTCCCACTTTCTTAAGTGGATATGCACAAAAGAGATCAGCTCCTGTCTGATCTTCTCTGTCTTTCTCAAAGGGAATTGGGAAATTGTTGCTGAATATTTTTTCTCAAAAAAGCTAAGCATATGATGACCCGCTAATCCTGAGTAGAACTTCACTGCAGGCCAAGCAGTAATTTGTGGAGCTAGCTTTTTAAGCTGTTTGAAACATGTGTTTCAAATAAAAAGAATTTTTGTTTTTCATGTGTAAGTAAAAGATTTGTTTGAATGAAATGGTTAAATTTTAATTTTCATTCCTACTAAGCAACACTATAAGGCATTGATTTTTTAAGCTCGTATTTTTAACAATAAGAACAACTAGGAAAGGAATTTCAGATAAATTTGGCTGCGTTTCTAAAGGTAATGAAATTCCATCGATTAAGGGAAATGCTATTGGTGTATAATTTGATTTTGTGGTAGCCTGTGTTTAGAGTTCTCTATGATCTGTGTAGCAAAAGTAGACTAAATTTCTTTAGAATCTTGTACTGAGGATATAATTTCATAAAACACTTTGGCAGTGAAATATTCATAAAAGGAATTGTGGATCAAATACTTAAGATACTTTTTAAATTCAGTCAAAGTGTCAGTGCCTGGCCTTTTTCCTACACTCCAGTTCAACCGAGTAACTTATTCCGATGGCCGCACTGCTTAGTCTGCGATGAAAGCTTTACTGCTTCTGTGCTGTGCTCAAGAAAAAACACCAGAGAAGCCAAGACTGGTTCCTTCAGGAGCTGCAGCAAAGCTCTCTGGGGGCCAGCGTGGCATGAATGTGTGGCACCGACTTGTCCAAGGTAATCTTGAGACCACCCAAACTTTACTTGCCTTATGAGTTAGAAAAAGTATGGATATCACTTATTTGTAAATAATGATTTTTATAAATGTTTTTCTTTATAATTTTCCCAATCACCCATTTCACAAAATCCTAAATATGCAATTA